CCTCATATTCTGATTAATTAAAAAAAAACACAAAAAACAAAAAACAGCCCCCAAAAACAAACAAACAAAAAACAACCCAGAAGCAATTTGCTTTTACCTAGCAAGGGATAGCGGTGCATTTTTATTTTCTAACTCAGTAATCTGTCAACTCTGGCTCTTTGCTGCAATTTAGTTCTCAGGGACCTTGATTATCTTACCATTGCAGAATATCATGCTGGATCACTGCACTGACAGGTAGTCTAATAAAACCCAGAGAGCAAGGAATAGCAGGCACTTTCCATGCCTTGGTACTATTATATGGATACTTGCTGAAAGGAATGATATACATCTCATGAAAATACAGGAGTCTTTCACTTCAGTGAGGTTAGGGGGTGGCTTAGATGGATTGAGACTCTAATCTAAAGGATAATTAGTTGAAATTTGTACATTCAACCAAAATGCTTATATGCATCTTTGAATTTTGGAGGCAGATCTGAATCATGGCCTCTGATCTCCTCTGCAGCTGTGTCCTGCCCTGAGATAACAACTGCAGTGCTTGTTTTCTAGCCCAAGGACTTGCCCTGATATCAGCCCCTCCCAAGTCTGGTTTGCAGCTTCACAATGATTCTGTGAGCCTCTGATATCATTCCAATGAATTAATTTTTCTAAAGTTAGCCAGAGTTTATTTTTGTTACTTACAACTAGAGAATTCTAATTTACACAATATTTAAGAAAGTAATAAGTGATATAAGTAAGATAATAAAATTTAATTAAAAACACAATTTAGTAGGCATCCCTTTTAGATAACATCAATTTTTCACACTGAACATTTTTAGAACATTACATGTTTTCTAAAGTAATAGTTGAAACACTAAGTTTCAATTAAGAAATTGTATTAAAAAGCATATGTAATTACATTTATTTTTCTATGGCTATGTAGAGATTTGAAATTAGTTTTAAAAATTGAGGCCAAAATATTCTTTTTATGTAGTGTCAAATGATGATGTGTTTTGACCTGGCTGAAAGCGTTATAAAATATTGTTGAGGTTTAAATATTTTCCATTTGTAGAATAAATCAGGTGGAGAAATCTAGTCAATATTTATCGATCTTACATAAACAGTGCACTGCACTAAATATTATAAGGTAAGACAAAAAAGCCATTTGCTTATTATGCTT